CTTCTTCTTCTTCTTTCTCGAAGGTAGATAGATAGATAGCTTGGTGGTAGAGAGCGAGATCCACTGGCTGGGATGGGAGAGCCTCACGAGGAAGCTTGACGGGCTGGGTAAGGATGGCTGGCTAGTTAGGGGGGAAGGGGGGGAAACGCCGACAGGGGAGAAGCAGGTTGGTAGGCAGTTTAGGGAACCGCCGGCGTGGGAAGGGGGAAGCACAGTCGCCGTCGCGCATCTCAGCAACTATCCATCCATTTTACTCTTCTAGCAGCTAGTTATGGAGTACCGTTGGTAAAAAGTCAAAGCACTCTCGACAAGGACTGACATCCATTATCCATTTATCTGTTGGGATGGGCCGTCTGTTCAGCTCGCTCGTTGGATGCATGGCAGTTTTTTACGGACCACCATGCAAACGTGGCGAACAATGGGGGGGGTCTTTGCTCGTCCATCAAGTGGTCAGAGCCAAACCAAAGTTGCCAAAAAGTCACGTCGTCAAAAGCTGCCCTGTGCATCCTGACTGGGTAGATCGAAGGGGGGGGGGGCGAGCTCGTTCGTTCGTTATCATTTATTCTCAAATCCCGCGAGCCAGCGCAGCTAGCCAGCTAGCTAGCCAGAGGGCCCCATCGGAGTCTTTCTCGTCTTTCTCGTCGTCTCTTAATAAGGGGCGATATAGCCTGACTCGACTGTCTTTGAAGTCCGTTCCATGCCTGTTCTCGGTCCGCAGCTCTTGATTGGCAGGCAAGAGTCAGTCCCCCTTCTAAGGGGACCCAGTAGCAGTAGTGTGCGGGACAGGTAGAAATGAAGAAAAGGGAAGAGGAAAAAAAAAAAATGACCAGACCAGTGCATATGGATGTGGGTATGCATGCAGTGCAGTGTATATAGCAGTGTTTACTTATAACCATCTCAAGTCATATCATGTTCGACCAACGACCGCCAGAAGACACTCGTCCCCCAGAACGGCGCCGTATTCGGTTCAAACTCCGGCAGACGCACTGACTGGTTCATCTTGCTGTACTCATCCAGCACCTCGTCTCTATTCACACTGTCAGCAATATATCATCTCCAATAGTACGGAGTAGAAGAGAGCATGAAAAGACTCACGTAGATGTCTCTAATGGCCCACCGAAGAAGACCACGGGCCGTCTAGCCAGCACCTCGACAAGATGCCGTCTCTCCATGCCTGGCCCAAACACCACCGTCTGCTCATCCACCATGCCAAACGCCTCCCGCCGCACCACTTCGACCCCCAACGAGGCCAACAGCTCGACGTCCAGCCTGTTGAAAACCGGATCCTGGGCATAACACCGACACGCCCTTTCACTGTTGCTCTCCAGCGCCGTCGCCGTCGCCGTCTCCGTCGCCGTGGTCGTCGTCGTACCTATTGTATAGAGAAAAGAAAAAAGTGGGGGATAAGTAATCCGTTAATCTTACGTATCGCCACAATACCGACGCATATTATTGCTATTATCATGCTTTTTTGTTTTTTTCTCTTAAATGAAATGAAAAACAGACGGAAAGGTCATGTCATGTCACGCTTTAATTATTTGAGAGCGGGTAGACATGGGATATTTTAAAATTATTATATAGCCTTTTTGTTTTTTCTTTAAATGCGAAAGCGAGAGAGAATGCGAGGAAGAAGAAAAGGTACGTACGGGTATTAGGAGAGAGAAGGTCGATCAGAGAGATGAAGGCCGCCAGCTGGAAGAGCGAGACGGCTCGACGGTCGACCAGCCCGCCGCGAAGAAAGCCGCTGGGGCTCCCAAGGGCGATGCAGATGAACTTGCTGTTGTCTTTGCTGCCGCCGACGGAGCTGGCGATGGGAGAGGCTGCGATGGCCTTCCAGGTCTGCGAGTCCAGCCATTTTTCCTGGTGGGCGTCGAACTGCGCGCGCAGCTGGCTCAGCGTCAGCCCGTCTGGTATCTCTGCTGGTATAAGCTGGTCTGGCATGGCTGTCGTTGTAGCTGTAGCTGTAGCTGCAGTCCTAGCTGTAGTCTTCGTTGTAGTGGCCACCCGCCTGGTGTTGGTGATGTGAGTCCAGCCATCGTCGTCCTGAACAGCCACTCGCCGTCGCGGGACAGCCTGCGTCTGAGACTTAGTCTTCTTCCGCGGCATCCTTTCAGTTGCAACTGTGATTGTGATTGTTATTATTATTATTATTATTTCATCTGCTGCGTCGTTCTTGTAGTGAGGTTGAATTAACGATTGTGTGGAGTTCCTCTTCCGGCCTAGTCGAGCCATCCATCGCCATCAACCATCCAGACTTCTACTTAAAAGCTAACTTAACTGGCTCAGAGACGCCCAAACGACGACCATCCCGACGCCACGCCTACGCCTGGGAAGATCCTGCCGTCCATCGCGAGCCAGCCATGAAGCATGTCCACCACGCGAGCGGCAGGCAACAGGCAACAGGCAAGCAACAGGCAAGCAAGCAAGCAAAGCAAGCAAGCAACAGGCAGCGGTGCTCAGGAACAAACACGAGCCCATGAACCACTTGAACCAGTCTTTCAACACCCTTAGCCGCCAAGTCAGGTCGAAACTCTGGTAACTCACAAGCTAAAAAGGGTCCCCTCTCCCTCTCCTCCCCCCTCCCCAAACGAACTCCACGCTAGATGCCAACGAACATTCCATGCAGATACTTCTCAGATTTAATGCTCTGGTGGATGGGCGGACGGGATGGACATGGTCATGGATTGCGCTGGATACTTTACTTTCGCTCATCATGGACATGGGCTAAGGGTACAGGAAGTTATGCTTCGATGGATACGACAAGGGCCGGGGGGGACTGGACAAGGGACAGGGAACATGGCTGTGGTCATGGACGAGAGGAAGTTACGAAGTTTCTCCCCGCGACCGCCCGTTAAGACTAAAGAGAGAAAAGCGAACTCAACTCTGGACGACCATACTTAATTTTCTTAGCTAAACTTCCAGCTAACTAAAGCGAGAAAGAGTCAAGACTGCCACGCCCGGGATCTGCTGCGGTTAAACTTGATGCAGTTACATAAAGGGAGGGTGTGTGAGCGAGTGATAGGCAGATACCCCGAAATACCCGCGGGATGACGATGCCGATGACGATGACGATGGGATGAGCAGTCGGCGGGTTTGAGAACAGTACGAGCCGGACGAGACGATGGCTTTATTTATTTA